CACCTACTATTTTGGCTCCATTAGGAATTACTTGTAAGTCCCAAACATCGTTGGTGTTCATCGAATTTATTTTAACTTTCATAGCTTCTTGCCATTTAAACGAGTAAACGCTTCTCATGGCTTCTTCAAATGAGGTGGGATCACCCTTTATTTGAATTTCTTTACTAATATAGACTTCATAGTCTTCAGAAAACTGGTTTACTAATTTTTTGAGACCTTCTAGTGCCTCAACTACTGGCACTTTCATATGGGACTGTTGTTGCTCTTCATTGCCAAGAGACAATTGATTCTACAGGCTCTTGTATCACAAGATCCTTGTTTACATTATTCATCTTCTTCGAAGAGCTAACAACAGGTGTTGTATTGGTCATACAACATCAACAGGTATTGAGAAACTTGTTGCTCTTGAGTCACTGGAGTGGGCACACAGTCCCTCTTCTCTTCAAGTCTTAGGTCTCTACATACCTCTACATACCGCTCCCCCAGATCTTTCCATCTTTTCTAAAGATAGTGTATCTTCAAATATCTTATTTTGGGTTTAATCTGTTAAAATCTCATATGGCGCTTTAAGCACCACCTTAACATCTTTGAGACTGACTACGCTTTTTTTCCTGTCGGAACTTAAAAAGTCCAAGAATTTAGCTATTTCTCTGCTTAGGGATATCATTGTTGTAACTGTTGTACTCCTTCGACGGTCACATTCATCTTAATTAATCTTTTTCTCACTCTTAATGAAGAATATCTTTCTTAATTGATCTTTATATTTTTTTTCTCCCTCTCAAAATATGGCATGAACTTTACTGCCATAATTTCGATAACTATTCAGAAAGCCTGTAAACAACGAGGAGACACTTGTAACTTACTTCATTCACATTATTGTGTCATGTAAACAAAGTTATTTTTTGATCCGTTTAGGAGTACACTTTCCTTAATTCACTTTAAGAACTCAACGAGGTCTTTTATTAGCGATACTTTTGCAAGTCATACTTTCATCTTTTCTTATCTTTTGGTTAGTATTGACCATGACTATGCATTTCTATTGTTCCAAGATCGATACTAGGATAGCATAAGAGCTACCCAAACTTCTCTCGCTATGCGGGATACAAAACATAAAACATGTGAATCATCAGAAAACTTATCCTGCCATGCAGGATTGACTAGCATAAGTACTATGCCAAAACTTCTCCCCATGCGGGATACATCTATACGAAAACTTAGTCATGACGACTAAAACTTTACTTACACTTCATTTCTAATTAAATCTTCCCGTTGGTTCCAATTTAATCAGAAAATTAGTAAACTAATAAAAATTGTTCTAAACTGGCTTGACTCAAGCCTTTTCATTCACATACCCTAGCATTGCAGCCCATTGGCATGCAGCCGAGTGATCTCGTCGGTTAAAATAAAATATACAATATGCTTCTACATCAATTCTACATCACCGTTGGGCAGAAAATAAAATTAATGCATAAAACTCATAAATTAACTTGAAATACATATAACTACTCTTCAAAATTAAACTCTCCCGTTGGTTCGAATTTAATTAGAAGATAATTAACTTCATTGCAGCGAAAAACTAAATGAAATACATTTTTTTAGTTTAGGAGCATTTCTTGGTCCTTATCTACTCTCTGAAAAATTCACCACATTGGTGTAAAATTTACCAGAGATTTAAGGTTCAGACTTAAATTCGTTATAATATTGTCATCATCAACGTTGGTCAGAAAATGACAATACCATAATCTTACATAAGCAAAAACGGACTACTCCTCTAATTAAATTTTTCCATTGGTTTGAATTTAATTTGAAGATAATCAACATCAAACTTTGTAGCGAAAACTTAAACATGATAGGTGAATTTTACTTACAGGAAAAATTCTCTTTACTAATTTTTCTTTGAGCCATTAATCATTTTCCAGGAAATAACAATTTACTGGGAAAAAAAGGAAAAGAAAAATGGACTCAAAACTATACTGTTTGCTCGGCCCGTCGACAAAACAGCCCGGCCTGCTTTCTTCGCGCGTCTGCGGTGCTTTCCTAGGCCGTAACCTGGGCCTGGGCCGGCAAAGTTGTCCTCCGTGCGCACCCGCCTGGGGCGAATCCGCCCAGCGTTTCCTGGCCGTTCATCACGATGGACGGCTCCGCGTCGATCTCGTGCGAGCAAAACCGCTCGGCGCCGGCTCATCTCGAAACCCTAGCCATTCATTTCTCCCTCCCCTTCTCTCTCAGCGCAATGAGCAGCAGCAGCGACCGAGCGAGCATGGCGCCGTTGCCGGCCCCCTCGCCGGCGCGCGCGCTCCCCACGCGGGTGAGCGCGCCGCCGTCAAGCGGACTAGCGGCGGCGCCCTTGGTCGGAGCTCGCGCAAGCCCGAGGAGTAGCGGCGGCTCGGCTTCTCCCCGCTCGTCGACGAGGCGGCGGTGGAGCTCCTTCCCGTGCACCGGTAGGAGACAACCCACGCGACGGCGGTGGTGACGCGCGGCAGAAGAGTCCGATAGGTCCTCCTCTCCTTCGTCCGATCTGTTTCTTGGGTGAGGGTTTTCTAGGGTTAGGGTTAGAGATCGCTTCTTCTTCCCGAGATGATTTCACGGGTTAGGGTTCGGCTTTGAGATCCTTTTCAAAAACCGACACCCTTTCTCTTCTCTGTGCTTCACCCGATCAGGGTTAGAGATTGTTCTTCCCCGAGATGATTTCGCCCGATTAGGGTTACGGCAGATGGGCCTCAACACCTTCAGTAGCACAACAGAATCTCTTCTCAGTGGCTTAAATTCAGCAAGCGTACTCTTTTGTCAAATCTGAATCCATCCCTCCTCAAAAGAAAGAAAATACTCCAAGAAGGAAGAAGATCGATGTGGAGTCCATACGGCAGATGGACCTCAACACCAGCCTGTTCGTTTGGCTGGGCTTGTTCGTTGCTGGATCGTGAAGAAGTACTACTGGCTGGTTTGTTATGAGAGAAAAATACTGTTCCGGCTGGAAATTTACGATCGTTTACGACAAGCACCAGCCAAACGAACATGTTGTCTCTGAATCCAAACCCCCCCCCCTCCCCCCTCAAAAGAAAGAAAATACTCCGAGAAGGAAGAAGATCGATCCATCCTCACTGATATCTCCCTCCCTCCCAAAGCTGCAAAAAAAGAGGGGATAAACATCGAGAAATATCACCGATAGTGGCAGCGTAGCGTTAATCTTGATCTTTTGAAGCTTATCACGGGAGTGAAAGCAAAGCAAACCACCTACTACACACAGCGACAGCACTGGTGGGTCAAAGGCGGAGGAGATTCATGACGGAACCGAGATGACCATGAATGATTGATTCCACACCACAACTCCACAAGCACAACGCCTGCAGCTGTAAAATAACGCCAATAATGCAGCAAGCAGGCAGGCCTCTCTCGTCGTCCGTCCTCCCACCCATCATCGTCCGACTTGGCTGGCACGGCAGGCCTTTCGGTCTTTGACCCCGGTCGGGGTCACAGCGTCGGCGTCTCGGCCGAGAGCGAGCGAGGTGGTCGGTGCTCATCGCATCAGCGGCTCCATTTGCTCGCCAGCGATCGAGCGATCCGCTCGGTACTGCGTGGTTGCGTGGGTGAGAGCGGCCGATCTTGAGCCCAAGCGCCAGAGATAGGCAATGACCTCCCGGAAAACGTTGAGAAACCGGGCGGAGCCATGGATCTCATCCTCTCCTCGCTTGTTTAACTGTTCTGAACTTGGTCGTGGGTTTTTGTATTCATGCTCGGCGTTAGGATTAAGGATGAAAACGGTCGAACTCGGTCGAAAAACTCCTCAACCGTTTTCTACTTTTACATTTGAAATACGAAAACGAAAGCGAAAGCGGACAAGCCGGACACGAAAACGAACACGAACTTACGAAATATCTAGAATTTCGAAAACGAACCAATTCGAGCGGAATTATGTCAAACACGGTCGGTATGCGAAAATTCAATACGAAATACCGACCCACAGTGCATAGCATTAAACAAATGCACGACCAAATACATAACAAGTTCACAACTAACAAGTGCATGATCTAGTTCAAGTGCATAGCACTAAACAAGTGCACGACCAAATACATAATAAGAGAGATGAGGTCAAGGCGTCGTCTATAAGAGAGGGCAGACTAGCCACCGTAGAGAAAGAACGCTTGTTGCGTAGTGAGCTGACTATAATTGGGTTATGTATGACTGTGCGATTGGCCAAATTCGGTTTAAACCAAATTTTGAATTCGAAATATTTCAAATTAAAAGTAGAAAAAGTAGAAAACGGTCGAAAAATGTGTAAACCGTTTTCTACTTTTACATTTGAAATACGAAACATCTCAAATGCGAAAACGAAAACGGTAAAGTCGGACAAGAAAATACGGATTCGATCGGATTAAATATAGAAAACGATGCGGTTCGGTTCGGGATATTTCCGTTCCGTTTTCATCCTTAGTTAGGATTCATAGCTCCGAGCTTGGAGCCGAGATCTACGGCTCCGAGGTCTGAGCCACAGATCTTGGCGTTAAGCTCGGAGCCAAGATCTGTGGCTCTGAGGTACCGGCCACGTCAACGCCACCTAAGATGTCCTGTTGTGCACGGTCAGGCACCTCGGAGCTAAGATCTGTGGCGCCGAGACATGTTATCTCAGAGCCATGAGTCCTGACGCCGACCCCAAGGTCTAAAGATGAGTTTACGTCTCCCAGAGATAAACGTAAATTTTCTTTTAAAAAAAAGACCAAATTATAAAAAAAAATAGGTGATGTCGGTACCGGTAGTGACGACACCAAGACTGGTCATACTAGAGAGAGCGACGACAAATTCATCAATCCACTATCTTTTGCAGGGCAAATCCAAGAAAGACTTGATGAGCATACTTGTCTACTTTGAGGTCCAAGTCCCCCTCCGCAGTCATTACACTTGCTCAGAAAGTCTCTATTTGAAGCCATCCGGACAATTTTTTTTTTTTTGACATTTTCAGCCACAACCATTCATATTTGTTACAGAGTAGCTGCAGAGGAAGGATGCACGGATTGCTCACAGCTCTGGTCCTTTGTTACTTCACCATTTCCAGCATAGCTGGGAAGGCAAGTTCGTGCATCCCTGAGGAGCGAGATGCGTTGCTTGCCTTCAAAGCAGGTTTCACTGACCCAGAAGACAAGCTGCGTTCGTGGCAAGGCCAGGATTGTTGCAATTGGACTGGGGTGGCCTGCAGCAACAAGACCCACCATGTCATCAAGCTGGATGTCAGCCAGTTCGGTCTTATCAAAGGGGAAAATGAAATCAACTCATCTTTGGCTTCTCTGACAAGGCTTGCATACCTTGATCTGAGCGACAACAACTTTGGTGGGCTGGCCATTCCAGAAATTTTAGGAAGCTTCAAGAAATTGAGGTATCTTGATCTTTCACGTGCCTACTTTGGTGGTAAGGTCCCTCCCCAGCTCGGTAATTTGTCAACCTTGGAGCATCTTGATCTCAATTCCTTCAGTTCGTCATCTACAATCCGAGTGGATAGTTTCCTTTGGGTTTCTCACCTTACGTCACTTACATATCTAGATCTTGGTTGGGTGTATCTTGCTGCATGCTCAGACTGGCTGCAAGCCCTTAGTAATCTTCCTTCGCTTAAAGTTCTTCACTTGAATGATGCATTTCTTCCTGCCACGGACTTGAATTCTGTTTCTCATGTCAACTTCACGGCCCTTACGGTACTCAATCTTACCAACAATGAGCTCAATTCTTCTCTGCCAAATTGGATTTGGGTGCTGAATTCTCTATCACATTTGGACTTGTCTGGCTGTCAACTTTCGGGCTCAATTCCTGATAAGACAGAAAATTTGACCTCCCTTGAATTGCTTCAGTTGCGGAATAACCACTTGACAGGAGAAATACCACAGGCTATGTGTAGGTTGTGCAACTTAAACTATATTGACTTGTCTATGAACAATTTATATGGGGATACTGCAGCAAGGAAGAACCCGTTCTTCTGCATGAAGCAACTACATTTTCTTGATGTTGGCGATAATAATGTAACTGGAAGTCTATCTGGTTGGCTTGAGGATTTAACAAGTGTAATCTATCTTGACATCAGCAATAACTTATTTTCTGGGCAGGTACCAGAAAATATTAGCAAGCTATCAAACTTAACTTATTTGGATCTTTCATCCAATGCATTTGATGGCGTTATATCTGAAATCCACTTTGGCAGTGTCTCCAGTTTGGAATTCCTAAGTTTAGCATCAAACAATCTGAAGATTGCAATTGAACAAAAATGGATGCCACCTTTTCAACTCAGAGTTCTACGATTGCATGCTTGTCGAGTAGGGCCGTACTTCCCTTACTGGCTGCGCTCACAAACAAAAATTGAGATGGTTGATCTACGCAGCACAGATATCATGGGCACATTACCTGATTGGCTCTGGAACTTCTCTTCATCCATCACTAGCTTGGATTTATCAAATTCTCCCAGATTGTTGGCAGAAGGCCTCACCATTGCAAGCCATAGACTTCTCAAGAAACAAGCTCCATGGAGAAATACCTTCAACCATGGTTTCTATAACCTCCCTTGCTGTATTATCCCTAAGCGAGAACAGCTTAACTGGTAATTTTCCCACCTCCTTGAAATCATGCAATAAATTGATCATTCTGGATCTGGCACATAATAATTTATCTGGTGAGATAGGCACTTGGATGGGTGATAGCCAACAGTCTCTGCTTGTGCTGTCTCTATGGTCAAATCAATTTTCTGGAGAAATACCTGAGCAACTGTTCCAACTTCACGACCTACAGTATTTGGATCTTTCTCGCAACAACTTATCTGGTCCTGTACCACTTTCTCTAGGAAGTTTAACGGCTATGAGTGTATATCAGGAGGGTTTTAGGGAATATGCTGTCAAATTTCCACAATTCAAATTCACGGTTTATGATGGTCCTCTTCCACAGGTGGCTGTGCACATAGCCACTGGTGGGTTACTCTATCTATTTGTGATAAGCAGTACAGATCTTTCAAGAAATCAACTCACTGGGGAAATTCCCAAAGGAATAGGAGCTCTATCTTCGCTGGTAAACTTGAATCTCGCAGGAAATCATATAATTGGTATTATTCCTGAGGAAATTGGCAACCTATGGAGGTTAGAGGCACTTGATCTCTCGCAGAATGGTTTGTCAGGTCCAATTCCTTGGATCGTGACAAACTGGATTTATCTTTCCGTGCTAAATTTATCCTACAACGACCTGTCAGGAAGGATACCGGATTCACTGCTTTTTAGTACTTTCTCAAATAGTAGTTTTTTGGGTAATGCAAATCTCTGTGGGCCTCCACTGTCCAGAATATGTTTGCAGCACAACATCAAGCGTGAAAACAACAGGAAACATTGGTACAAGATTGATGGAGGGGGGGCATACTTATGTGCAATGCTTGGGTTTGCATAAGGATTATCTGTGGTGTCTGTGATCCTCTTGTTCAGCGCAACAGCAAGAAAGGCATACTTTCAGTTCACTGACAGTAAATTGGATGAATTACGAACTGTAGTTGAGATTAAGCTCAATCGGTTCAAGGCAGGAAGATGCCAATCCATGGAAGCTAGGCGTGTTTCCAACCACTACTCCATCACTTGCTACGACTACGAGTTGGAATTCGGATCCCCAGCCCCTGGTGACTAAAAATGATCAATTTGGTATTAATAGTACTTCAAAGTAGCCATAGGTATTTTTGTTGAAACAAGTCAGAGTTTCTTGTCAGAAACCCATAATGTGCTCTGTATAATGAAGCCAAGTTATCCATTGTCTACGAGAAAGGTTACCCATGTAATAACTGAGCAAACTCTACTATTCTGTGTGAGTATGAATTGTTGTACTTTATGGCCCTACCAGTGCAGAAGCTGTGACATTTTGGATGTGCTTATGTGGAGTAACACCTTTTGATATTTTGGTCGGACATGCGAAAATCATATGTATGAACTGTTCTTGAAGAGTGTCCCTGAGAAGGGAGCATATTTATACCGTCATCACCCGTGTGTGTGTGTGTGTGTGAGAGAGTGAAAGCTCTAGTTTGGTTTTGGTGAATTGATGAAACCCTAAGTGCTAACCTAGTTCATCAAGTGATTATGAGATAGGTAGCACACTTCAAGTAGAGAAGTAAATGAAGATCATAACATGACAATGGTGATAGCATGGAGATGATCAAGGGCTTACACTTGAAGAGAAGAAAGAGAAAAACAAAAAGCTCAAGGCAAAGGTATAAACCATAGGAGCTATTTTGTTTTGGTGATCAAGACACTTAGAGAGTGTGATCACATTTAGGTTTGATAGCCGTACTATTAAGAGGGGTGAAACTCGTATCGGAATGCGGTTATCAAAGTGCCACTAGATGCTCTAACTCATTGCATATGCATTTAGGATCTAGTGGAGTGCTAACACCCTTGATAATATTTGTGAAAATATGCTAACACATGTGCACAAGGTGTTTGCAGGGTTGAGATGGGTTTGGGTCCCTCTCTCCCTCCCGCCGAGCTTGCGAGGCGGGATTCGGCGCTTTCGGGAAAATGAAATGTCTATTTTCTATTGCGCCGGATGCAAAATTCTTGGTGGTTGGCACACTTGAGCAAGGGTGAAGAAGTAAGAGTTGAAATGGAGTTGATCGAAATGATGCTGGCGTCGGTCCTGTGACCGGACGCTGAATCCAGAAGCACCGGACGCTGACTGCCTGCGTCCGGTCGCGCTGACTCGGCGGTACAGTGGCTAGGGGTTGAGCACCGGACGCTGTCTGCGTCCGGTCAAGGTGGACCGGACGCGTCCGGTCGAAAAAACATGCCTCGGGGAGCTTACTGGAAACGACCGGACGCTGGGGCTTCAGCGTCCGGTCAGTTCGAAGGAGCAGCGTCCGGTCGAGGCTGATGACCGTTGAGTCTGGACACGTGGCTGACATCGAGCGACCGGACGCTGAGAGCCAGCGTCCGGTCAGTCTGACCGGAGCGTCCGGTCAGAACGCGTTTTGCCCAGTGAAGGGGTATAACGGCTCTATTTGATGGGGGCTCTATTTATAGCCCCATGGCCGGCTCAAGGGAGCTCTCTTGCACATTTTCATTGACATAGCAACCTTGTGAGCCTAGCCAAAGCCCTCCCACTCATCTACATCATTGATTCATCATCATAGTGAGATTGGGAGTGAATCCAAGTGCATTGCTTGAGTGATTGCATCTAGAGGCACTTGGTGATTGTGTTTCGCTGCGGATTTCGCTTGTTACTCTTGGTGGTTGCCGCCACCTAGACGGCTTGGAGCAGCAAGGATCGTTGAGTGGAGGAGGTGATTGTCTCCGACTCCGATCGTGGTGATTGTGAGGGGTTCTTGACCTTTCCCCGGCGGAGCGCCAAAAGGTACTCTAGTAAATTGCTTGTGGCTTGTGTGATCCTCATCTTGTGTTGGTTGTGCGGCACCCTATTGAGGGTTTGGCGAGTGATGCCAATCAGCACGTGAACCTCCAAGTGAGTGAATCGCCACAACAAGGACTAGCTTGTCGGCAAGCAAGTGAACCTCGGTAAAAATCATTGTGTTCATCATTGATTCCGAGGTGATTGGTCATCATTGTTATTCATCTTCGTGATTGATTGGTTCATTCATCTACACGGCGGTATAACCCTCTTGATCACTCTCTTTACTTTACCGTAAACTAGTTGACAAGCTCTTTAGTGTAGCTAGTTGTGAGAGCTTGTATGCTTGGTTGGTGTGGCTCTTTAGTTAGCCTTTGAGAGCACACTAACATAGGGTAGTGTCATTGCTCTTGTGTGAATTGACACTATCTAAACTAGAATTGTGGTAGGTGGCTTGCATTTTTGAGTAGGCTAGCGCAACACTAGCTTCGCCTCATAATTGTCTAACCATTTGGTTAAGTGTTGTTGTAGAAATTTTTATTAGGCTATTCACCCCCCCTCTAGCCATTAGGACCTTTGAGAGAGAGAGAGAGATGTTTTTTTTTTTGACACCGAGAGAGAGAGATTGTTGCTGTGACTGATGTTAGCATATAATCTTGTGTGTGTGTGTGTGTCAATAGAGATGAATTCCACAGCAGGTGCGTGATCTTGCTTGGTTTCATTGATCTTTGTAGGACCCCAATCTGCAATAATAGCTCTGCCATATGAGGTACTCAATCCATCCCAAATATTAAGACGTTTGACTTTTTTGACACCAAGTTTGACCACTCGTCTTATTCAAAAATTTGTGTAAAATATCACTTCTTTCGTCGTGGTTTGGTTTATTAATAAAAATTCTTCAAGAATGACTTAAATTTGACTATATTTGCATAAATTTTTTGAATAAGACGAGTGGTCAAACTTGAGGCTAAAAAAGTCAAACGTCTTACAATTTGGGATGGAGGGAGTACTATTTTGAAAACTGGGTACTTTTTCCCTCCTAAGTTATACGTTCACGGACAGAATTTCAACGAACCACACTAACATATGCGATGCTACTGTTCATATACTAACGTATGCTCATATCTTTTCTCAGAAACAAAATGCTGCTAGAGAAATCTATTGGCTATAGAAAGGTTACCCACTGTAAAACAACAATGCTAGCTGTTCAGTGTTCATCACTTCGTATCTTGATGAACTGATGCAGGCCTACAAAAGCAGTAGGATGGTGGGGAGAAGGTTCAAAGAAGATTCTTGGCGGCAGGGATGTGCTTGGTGGAGGAACATGGATGGGTTGCACCAAGGATGGCAGGCTTGCCTTCCTGACCAATGTGCTTGAACCAGATGCCATGCCCGGTGCACGGGCTAGGGGAGATCTGCCTCTCAGGTTCCTGCAGGTATATATAGCAAAACAAATCAAAAGCTTCCACTAGATCATTCAAGTTTGTTGAGTTTTTATCCGAAAGCTGAGATAATACCGAGAAAGATAGATTCATTTATTGTACAACCCAAGCTGGTGTTTTCCATCTTACTTTTGTTGTCGCTATCATTCCTTAGCACCCGATTCGGTCACTCTGACAATTTCTCCGTTTTGACAGTGATTGTGTAGACACTAGATGGCGCACACAGGAACATATATTCACACCGCATTCCCATTATAAACCAAAAAAATTACCATTGAAAACACTTTAGTGGTTCATCCTATTACAACTAATAACTATAGCATGCATTGTAAGAACCTACGATTAATCAACCACTTCTCCTAATCAACATGAAATTATCTTCGATGTAACATTGTTCCTGAATAGCAAGCATAATCCAGTCTGTACCGTGCAGAGCAACAAGAGCCCACTTGAAGTTGCAACTGAAGTGGCAGAAGAAGCTCATGAATACAATGGCTTCAACCTCATACTAGCCAATCTAACAACAAATATCATGGTCTATGTGTCAAACCGGTCTAAGGGGCAGCCTGCAACAATTCAACTCGTCTCACCAGGACTCAATGTGCTGTCCAATGCAAGGCTAGATAACCCTTGGCAGAAGGTAAACAGAGCACTTTCATGTTCAACAAGATTTGTATAGATGGCTAAAAATCTCAAAATGCCTTGCAAATAAAAATGAACAGGATGATTTTATTTGGTATAGTGAGTAGCATATATTGGTAGGTACAAAAGTAGAAATGACGAATGCCTATAAGGTGTCACGTTAATTATTTAATTTTTAGCTGCATTAAAATTATGGATCACAGAGAAAACATTGAGCTGGGAAAAGCGTGAGAAAGCAACATGTGAACCATAAAGTACTTCCCTAGTAATAAGCAACATTGCATTTAACTCAATTTATAGCACAGCATGTGCAAGAAGTAAGATAAGATGACAATGCATTATTGCAACCTACTCTGTCTCTCAGGGACCATTCATCATACCAAGACCGTTATTCATGAAGACAGTGTGAGGTAACCTAAAGGGATTTTTTTCATTGTTGTGTATGCACTGTGCACTTGTAGGCAATTCGCCTCGGTAAAAACTTCAGGGAGCTTCTTAGGGAGCATGGTGATGATGAGATTGAAGTGAAGGATATAGTTGAGAGGCTAATGACTGACACCACAAAGGCTGACAAAGATAGACTGCCAAACTCTGGTTGTGATCCCAACTGGGAGCATGGTTTGAACTCCATCTTCATTGAGGTGCAAACTGACCAAGTGAGAAAAAAATCTCTTGATTCAGGGTTCAGCTAGTTGAAAAACTATATCATCTGGCCACTTATAAATATCTGTGTACATAAGCATAGGCTAATACTTCAGAAATGAACTTAAATTCTGTTTTGGTGAAGGGGCTCTACAGGACACGGAGCACAGCTGTTTTATCAGTGAACTATGATGGTGAAGCTAACTTGTACGAGTACCTTGAGAGTGGTATATGGAAGGACCACACACTGAATTACCAGATATGAAGCAGACACAATTGTGAACTTCATTCTTTACCTAATCCCCAGTCACCTTCACGATTATCTAAGATCCCATCATGATGCCAATTACATTATTTACTGTAAGCAGATTTGTCACTTGACGATAAAACGTCAATCAAAAGTTTAAATTTATATACCAAATATATATAAATTTACAGACTTCGTGTAAGATTAGTTTTCTTGGTCATGTTTACTCCAGAAATCTTAGCAAGCTATCGTATGTTGAGTTCTGTTGTATTAAAGGTTAATTCACTAACATACATTTACCGTAACATTATGATAAGTTTAAGCTACTGAAACTATAGAATACATCAACTACATCACAAAAAACGATGCACATATGCATAAAGAAATGCATCTGGTGTACCTCATTTGTTCAATATGCTCCAGACCTCCAGTGGTGTCGGTCATGCAGATAGTGAGTTCTCTAGTCCTCCAGACTACATAATCGCCAGTCGAAAGCAGTCTTGAAAAGTGATAACCAAAAAAAGGATTACCAAGAAACAAATAGTCCGTTGGCTCTGTTCGGCTGCTCTAATAAGCCGGCTTATCAGCCATGGTAAAGTGTTTTTTCTCTCCCAACAAATCAGCCGTACAAATCAGCACAAACGGCTTATAGACCAAGCTCCTCAGTCAAGATTTCAGCTTGTAGACAAGGAAGCTAGCAAGAATTGTAAAGCTTAGCACTACACCCCAATAGTTAAACACTACACCCCCACTTGTATGCTCTTGTTCTTCGTGCTCGATACTTCTCTGCAGGATTTCTGTCTTTGCCCATCCCTGTTGGTTTCTTCTCTGCATGGTTTGTCTTGTTGCTCACGGCACTGCTGTGGTATCCATCTGGTGATCGTCCTCTCATGAACAATCATTTGTTCCAAACAATCCAAGGATCCCAGCTCGGATCTCTTGGTGCTGATGGTCAGAACAAGTAACGTCTTGGCCACACTTCCAGAGACCCGAAGCGAACAGAGCAGGTCAGACCAGACCTTCATGCGGCCACACCTAGTGCCAAACGCTTTGCCTTCTGGAACCACAATCACGGCAAACTCCGAGTGCACAAGTGCCGGATGATGATGCCATGACGGTAAGCTACAAAGTCCGCCCCATACTGCAATCCCGACTTTACAACCCAGTTCTTCAGCCTAAGGTGTTCATAGGCCCTGTACATCTCCGGGAATTGCTCCGAGGTGGATACCAAGAGATCCCACAGCTCCGGTACACCCATCCACGCCTTGCTCTCCGACTCAACCACGACGCACTTCAGGGCATGGCAAAGGAAGAATACCTCCTCGGGGCCCAGCTGGAACCACTGCCTCTCCGCGCCTGCACTCTCCACGGCCCGGCCAAAGGCGCGGCTTGGTTCAGAAGCTTGGCTTGGCGTGAGCCGACCTCGAGAATCACGTCCCTCAGTAAAGCCTGGAGCTCGGCGACTATGCTTGACATGGGATTGGCCGCTGCGAGTGCTGCGAAGTCCTTGCCGTCCTTGCCCTTCTTCCATCTGGGACCTGGCAAATCCATAAGCTGATGGCACGACATGAGACTTGATGGAAATCCTTAATCCACAAATCTACGGGCATGGCATCTACGACATGGACGAAAGGGGAAACAAAAGAGAGAGAGAAAGTAGAGCAGAGACCGGCTCACCTTGTGCACAAGCAAGCGGCCGGCCGTGTAGCTGCTTGCTGCACCTGCTGCCGCTGCCGCAGGGGTTTCCCTGGAGGAACGGCGCCGTTGGCGCGGGGTCGCAGGGGCCGCCAGTCTGGAGCGGGGCAAGGCCCTCAGGCGCGGCGTTGCCCTGGAGCCTGCGCGGTCTGCTGCAGCGGACGGCCGCGGCGGCTAGGCGCGGGAGGTGCTGTCGGGCAGGGGCTGCTCACCGGGACATGGCCGCTCCAAGGTGCGCGCCGCCGCTCCAAGGTGAGCGAGACGTGAAATACTGGGCCGGGCCTCGGCTCTTTGTCTTCAGTGGGCTGGTATGGGCCGCTGGGGTGTTGCGCGCGCTTGTACTGGGCTTTGGCCTTCGGTTCCAATCTGACAGTGGAATTTGTTCGCAAAGGTTACTGCGCGCACGGTCGCAGCGAGCGAGCCTGTCGCCCGCGGCCTTTTGTATTGTTGTGACATGGCCCGTAGGCTTTTTATATGCACGTATTAATGGATCATCACGTGGGCTTAAATAGGGCCAATACGCAAAGTTTTTGTACCGGCGTGCCACTCCACTAAGGACTCCATCAGCCAGCCTAGCCCAGCCCAGGAGGCTTTTTTATTAGGCTGTTGTCTGTTATAAAAATGCGATAACTTTTCACAAAATCTATCTGACACCATTCACCTATTTTTAAAATATAGGATAGGATGTTCATTTTTATTTTTGTTTGCGATATTGTGCTCTTTATGTCGTATTACGAGATCCGAAAAGGTAGACATGCGATGCCTATGTTAAAAAATAATTTTTATATACTAGCAATTTATATTGTATATATAATAGCTACTTATGTATTAAGTATATAGCAATTTATGTTAATAATTCAGCTACATTATACATAATCATTCATCCGTGTGCTGATTCAGAGTGCTACCACACCCATACTGATTAAGGGTCGTAGCTAGTTTTCGATTCAGGGTGGCTCCAAGGGTTATAGTGTGTCTTCAGTTGGCAGCTTGTCGTGTGTTTGGGACTGCTACAATGTTTTTTTATACGCTGTCATGTGGTCTGGAAATTCAAGAATATGTTTAACCTGGAGTCACATTTTTATGTTTCATTTTTTTCTTTTAGTTTCAGTTTAATGAGTTATGACTTTATTTTTTTCTTTCACCCTTTCAGTTTAATAAGTTTTGAGTTTAATTTCTTCACTTTTGATTTTTTTAGTTTTCCTTTCAGGTTCGAATGCCTTTCTAAATCACACATTAGTTTTTTGTTTCATTATTTTTTAGTTTAGTTTAATGAGTTATGAGTTTTTTTTCAGTCTCCCTTTTAGTTTAATGAGTTATGAGTTTCATTTCTTCAGTATTTGTGTTAAGTTTCCCTTTCAGGTTGAAATATCTTTCTAAATCGTACATATTAGTTTTTTTTTGTATATTTTTATTTTAGTTTTAGTATAATGAGTTTTTTTTAGTTTTTTTTAGTTTTATTTTTCAGTCATGTTTTTTAATATTTTGTAGTTTTAATTTTCAGTCTTGTTTTTTTTAGTTTTTTAGTTCCATTTTTCATTTTATTTTTTTAAATTTTATTTTGTTTCGGATTTCAGTCACCCTTTTAGATTCGAATGTCTTCTAAATCCTGAATATTAGTTACCTCACCTACAATGTATAAAGCTGTTACCAAAGGGTACCAATTGTACACATAAGTTGCCACTATATATGGGCATGCAGCTCGCAGCCCGCATGGGCCGGCACGAGGCCCGGTTTTTTTGCCCGACCCAAGTATGGCCTGGCCCAGTGGCTAACGGGCCGGGCCAACCCGGCCCGGAGGACCAGGCCGTGCCTGGGCTGCTCCCTCAGCTCGGTGGGCGGCACGGCCCGGTAAAATATGTTAGGCCTGGTGCCTAACAGCCCATCCTATTTCCACCGTAACCCCGACTGCTTTCATGTTTCATCCAACTTACTGTATCCTATCCCCAGCCGCTTACCTCACCCATCGAATCCCTATCCCTAGCCGCTTACCGCATCCCCATCGGCCATCCCCGCGACGTCACACCGCACAAGGCTCACGCGGACGCGCGTAGTCGCGAGTCGCGACCTCGCCTCCTCCTCGCCCTCTGCGCCACCGACCGCCTCCTCCACGCCAGCACAACAGACGGCGGCCGGCCACCTCCTCCTCGCCACCCGCATCAGCGGCCGCCTGCTCCTCCTCCGTGGTCTTCCTCAAGCGGCAGCGATGACCGCGTCTTCCTCGCCCCTCGCGATGGCCTCGAGCTCCCTCCCTCCTCCTTCGCGACCCGACGGCCTCGAGCTCCCTCCTTCGCGATGCGGCGGCCTCGCTCGCTCGCTCCCTCCCTCCTTCGCGAAATCACGACGCGGCGGCGGCAGTCGGTGGCATGGACGTGGGCCTCGGGCCGGCCCGACCTGCTAAAAGACCGTGCTTTCTGGGCCGGCCCGGCACGAAAAAGGACCCCACAGGCCGTGCTTGGGTCGTCAGCCAGGCACGAAGCCCAGGGCGGCGCGGCCCGGTGGCACGTCGGCCCTGGCGGGCCATGCCTCGTCGGTCCGTGCCTGACACGGGCTTGTGCTGGCCCGTTGCCTATCTATAGTTGCCACAAAAGAATTTGCCCATCGTTTCAGTTTTCAGTCTAGTTTTTTTTAGTTTTTTTGTTTCGATTTTCAGTCATGTTTTTTTAGTTTCAGTTCTCAGTCACCCTTTTAGGTTCAAATGTAATTTCAGTTTGCATTTTCATTTTGTAATTTCAGTATTGCAATTTTAGTTTGCCTTTTCATTAAGTAATTTTAGTTATTTAATTTAGCACCCTTTTAGGTTTGAATGCATTCCTAAATTCTACATATTAGTTGTATAATAACTTATTTTATTTTTTCTCAATTATTTGTTTTGTTTTCTGGTTGTTAATTTCTTTTTTAGTCACTGGTAATTTTAGTTTCACTTTTTTTACTTATTTGAACTATTGAGCCACTTGTGATGAGATCTATGAAATAAGACTATGATGCATGTGTTTCAAAATAGTTTGTATGTACCGACAACTTATGTTATATATGTAATAGCTATTTATGTATTAAGCGTGGAGCAACCTATATATTAACCTTCCAACAAATTATATATACTTGCAAACGTGTAGCAACTTATGTATTAAGCGTGTAGCAACTTTATTTTTATTTTCTATTTTTTTTACTTATTTGTACTATTGAGCCACTTGGATGAGATCTATGAAATAAGACTATGATACATGTGTTTCAAAATAGTTTATATGTACTGACAACTTATGTTATATATGTAATAGTTATTTATGTATTAAGCGTGTAGCAACCTATTTATTAACCTTCCAACAAATTATATAAACTAGGAAACGTGTAACAACTTATGTATTAAGCGTGTAGCAACTTATTTGTCAATTTCATTTTTCATTATTTGTTGCCACTTTCAATTCTAGTTTATTGTACTTTCAGTTTTAGTTTTCTTTTTTTCATTGTGTCTACTTTAGTTTTGATCGTCGATTCGTCAATTTCATTTTTTTTGTCAATTTCAGTTTTGTCTTGGTAATTTTACCTTCAGTGTTTTTTTTGTTTTGTCTTCTTTCGTTTTCAGTTTCTATTTGTCAATTTCAGTTCATGATTTTGTTTGTCAATTTCAGTTCCAGTTTACAGCAAGTCATATTTCCTAACTTTTTTAATAAATGCCCTCAGTTAGCAACGAGTCATGTTTTCTGGCTTTTGTAATACGTTGTATAATAAATTGCCTCCTAGTTGGCAGCTTATGCAATGCTTATATAATTTGTCTCTCTAGGTTGCAGCTTGTCTTGTTTGGATCGCTACTCTCTTTAGGGGTTAGAACCTTTATGTAAATGCCCTAGTTGGCAGCAAGTCATGTTTTAGAGTAGTCAATATCAATCAGTTTCTGGTAAATTTAGTTTCAGTTTTATGTTTATTTTTTCGCGGGTGTCAATTTTAGTTTTATTTTCTGGTAAGTTTCAATAAGTTTATGGTAATTTTAGTTTAGTTTTTTTTGTTTTTCATTTTGTCTACTTTTGTTTTCGGTTTCTATTTTTCAATTTCAGTTCAGTTCAAGGTAATTTCAACTTCATTGTTATTTTTGCAGTATTTTTTCATTTGTTTACTTTAGTTTTCAGTTTTTATTGTCAATTTCAGTTAATTTTTCTGGTTGTCAATTTCAATATTACGCCCTCCAAGTTGGCAGTTTATGCAATGCTTACTTAGTATTACCGTAGTAACACCTTTGATATTTTGCCCCCCAAAAAAGGAAAACCTCGTTTGTGTATACTATATACTATATAACAAGTTTGGTATATTTTGGGACTAGCAACTTTAGTATTATATGATAATAACTCCTTTTGATTTTTTGGTCTGAGCTTGTATATACTATGTAGCAACTTTAGTATATTTTTAGAGTAGCAACTTTAGTATTACATGTATTTAAAAAAACTTTAGTATTACATGTTAGTAACTCCTTTGATAAATCTTCTATCACATATTACACATAAATTGCTACTAGAATAAAATTCTTTGAAACATATGTAAGTGGAGTTTAGTTTTATTCGTCTCGTCACGTAGAATACACTGGTATAGACCAAATTGAAAACGAATAAACCATTCAAAAATTATACCAAGTCAAAGAAAATATTTTAGTTTTTCGTTTATGTGGTCAGCTTGCATGCATCACACATGCAGCAGGAAACGGGGGACCGGAGTGGGATCGAGGACATCGCACACTAGCCTTTTGCGCCTGGGACCACAAGCTGAGAAGGGAAAGGGGCTGGCACAGTAGCCAGCAGCAGGGCTGGTCGGCGCGGGGGGCATCGCGGACGTGGTCGCGCGTTAACCGCGTCCAATTTGTTCCGGGTGTTCCAACCTCAAAACCGAGCCCAAAATGGATGTTTTGCGGTGAAATCTTGGGCCGAATCAACCCCTCCCAGCGAGTGCAAATACATGACAAACAGCCCGTTCGCCGGTTTGTTTACGAACTGATAAGCCCGACTGATACTAACTTGTTGTGATAAAAAAATACTGTATCATAGCTGATAAGCTCTGACTGAAACCAACAAACGAGATGCTGAAATTGGGTTCCTGTTCTGCACTGACTGCGTACACACCTGGGCTGGGCACTTGCGTAGAGCAGTGTGAGATTTTCTAAGACGTGAATAATAAAATATTATAACCCAACTATGTTTTATTTGCCGTAAAGAAAAGGGTTTTTGATGTTTTTGCCCCTTATTTTGTAGTGCAATTGTGATTTTATCTTCGTTTTTCTAACTTTGTGATTTTGCCCTTTACTGTTAGCAAGTCAACGTGATTTTGCCTCTGGTCTTTGTGAATTTGCCCTTGTTTTGACCGTTGACTAGGAGCAAAATCACGTTGACTTGCTAACAGTGAAGGGCAAAATCACAAAGTTAGAAAAATAAGGACAAAATTACAATCGCACATCAAAGTAGGAGCAAGAACACAAGAGCCCCAAAGAAAATGGATTGCTACTTCATTATGATTGTACATACAGGCAATTATATATTCATTCATTGGTCTATTATTTGCTACTTGTACTATTATACATGCCTTAGGACTTTACTAATCCGTTCCAGCACACTGGCAATAATTGAGTTGAGCCTCTTTGAAGTGAAACAGTTGGCAGCTCTTCTTTTAGCAATTATATAAAACCACTCTTGGCCTTGTGGGGGCACATTTGTCTTCCTGTTGCTCAAATAAAAAAGGCCCTCCAGTTTATGTAACCCACAACAGTAGCAGTACAACAACAATGGATACAAATGTACACGATTTAGTTTTAGCAGTAAGTTTTTTTTGGCCAAAAGTGGGGGGTGTTTGGATGGACTAAACTAAACTTTAGTCCATGTTTTGGATGCCAAATAAAAGACCTAAACATGGACTAATCATGGTCTAATAAAACTATTAGAGGCTAATTGATAAGTAGAACTCATTAGAAAAAAGAATTTTTTTAATTAGTCCATGTTTAGCCTATTATGTAACGACGGACTAAACTTTAATTTAGTCCACACTTACCCTAAGGTTATTGCATATTGCTGTAGCTATTTGCATGGACCCATCATAACATTTCACTCCATTTATTGGGCCCTGTTTAGAACACAAGAATTTTCCCTTAACCCTACCGCTCCTTTTCTTTTGAAATTAAACTGGTTCATGTGAAATCCTTTATGACTTATGTGTCCCAAATGACCCTTAGTTTTAACGAGCAGGGTAGAGTCAGCAATAACTTGGTTTTAATTCGTAAAAAAATTCAACATATCCAAACCCCGAACACATGTTGGTGATCGTTCCTTTTTTTTCACAATGATTGGACTATCTTCTTTTTCTTTGGCATGTCTTACAAATGTTATGTTATTGCCCCTTTTGCATGCAAGGACGACTGTAGTCACAATACCATGACCATGGGAAAATGGGACATCTTCGACCCATGGACCACTTTGGGCTCTTTGGATTTGGGTTGACTTTTGAAAGATGCTTGTTTTCCTAAGAACATCACTCTTTAGCAAACCTTTTCGCCACACAAAAAATTCAACATTGCCCCTTTTTGTACATAAAAGGACTAACTATATACCATGACCATCAAACAGCTTTGTTCCAAATTGGCCATTGCTCTTCTCATGCAAAACTAGAGCCTTTCTTTCTGCATGTGGTTTAAAACACCTTTGTAGGTAAAGAGTGATCAATATCATAGCACTCTCCAATTAAGCTAATCACACAATGCAATTGTCGACGCCTACACAATGCAAGTTGTTTGCTTTCTTGTGAGGATCGAGAAAGAATACATTTGTCTTTGATGTAACGTCTATAAGTTCTGTATTACATACACCGTCACCTGACCTCCTTTAGAAAATTAGAATGCAGGATTTTTTTACAGGTAAACACTCTTGCTTGATTTTTCAGTATAGGTGGCCACAAATCAGAGAGAAAAATTCAGATTCACAATGTAATAAGCAGGGAGGCTAGAATAGGGCCTCCTTTCGTTCTATTACAGGACGAAGACGCTAACGAGTGATCGAGTTCACTGAAGATGATGATGGATGATGCCTCATCAGTTCATCGTCGGTGGCGAAATTACAAGGGTCCTACTCCTATCCATCCATTTACCAGAATTTATACTTAGTTTCACCCTCACAACGTCGATGATTGACTCCAACATCATCCGAATGAACTAAAGTTGGCGTCGTTCCATCTGGGACCTGGCAAATGAATAAGCTGATGATAGCAGGGGCTTAGGGTGAGGTGGGGGAATTGAATTTGCCGTAGCACAAATCTATCTCGCCGTGGAAACAATCAGTCGATCTAAGATCATCCACAGGAGCAAGAGCATAGGGCCGACGGCTATCCTTTGTGCAGGAGCAGGAGCAGGAGCAAGATGCCAGCCGCGTAGCTCCTCGCCTATAAGGCTATGGGTGCGATATCCACAGAATCGATCATGTTCTGCATCCGGGTAGTCCTGAAATTGAACCGCCGGCTCTTGGAGCTGGAACCTGGAGTCGCTGCACGTTGCCACCGGTGCGAGCTCAGCCACGAGAGCATGTACGGCAGCCCTGTGATCCTGGGGCTGGGGGAGAGACAAGCTTCCCCTGTCGAGTCAATGGAGAAGCGACCAATGTTGGATATATCCTTCATGTTCTCCAGATCCGTGGCAAGGTCGTCCCATCTTTCCCTGGCTTCACGAGCCATCTGAGAGCTGCCGATGGACTTCTGCAGTTTGGTAAGTTGCCTCCGCAGCTTCTTGCACGGCACACGCAGATTCATGTACGAGGTACACGGTGTGCTCTCGAGCCATACCTTCTCGACGCGGTTGAACATGTGGGCTCTAATAAGCTCGCCGACCACCTCGACGTCGACGGACATGCCGCGATCTGTGGCCGGAAGCTTTCTGGGCCTCTCCACGGACACCTCCACCGTGTCCGTGCTCACGGCAGTCCTGGTGAGGGGACAGTAGTACGTCGCCGTTACGGCCAAGAGCTTGGTCTTCGGTGTCCCGGCGGGGAAAATGGCGGCAGCTGCTTCCTCCCGCGGGACGTTCACGTAGACGATGAACTTCTTCTCCTCGCTTGCGTAGAGATCTATGACATCAATAGTAAACCCTGGTGATATGCCCCCGGATGCCACGCGACGACGACGACAGACGTGGCCTCCGGACATGATGGCTTGTATCTGCACGTCTTCATGCGCCGAACGGATAGTGACCTTCACGTCCTGTGCGACGATGGACGTCAGACCGCCGATGCAGAGCGCCATGGCGTCCCGGATGCTCCTGCTCTCGGTGACGAAGGAGTAGGTGCCGTATCCGCTGGTTGCAAGGTAATACAGCGTGCGTGGGTCGTGGTCCCGACCGAAGCCGAAGGTGTAGGTAGGGTATTTGTGCCTCTTTAGAAGAACTTCTGTGGATTTCAAGCTTTCCTCGAATATTGTTTCGTCCTGTCCATCGGCGAGGAGCAGAACGCTTCTCACAGGATTTCCATCTGGCTCACCAAGAATCTGCAAAACCATACCGTCAAAGAAATATGCAACTTCAGAATATCGAAATTATGGGAGTTCTTTATCAATAGATGCGGATAAGGCGAATATCTATTCATAGGCTTATACTATCCAAGCAGCGTAAATAATAATTATAAAGAGATGAATTCCGAATATTTCAGAGACAACAAATAATGCATTAAGTGAACTGAGCATAGTCGAGTTGGTTAGATTCAATACTCATGTTGTTGACTAATTATTTTTTCAGTGGCAGGTGACATGCCTATCGGCAACTAGCGCATGTGATAAGCTCATTGGTTTTAAGATTTGTTGACGTCTGTCAGAAGTGTTTGTAAGGGTAGAATGTGAGTGTGCACGTTAGATAAACTTGTTGAGCTTGACTCTTTTAGCGTGGCAAGCTAAAATTGTACCCTTTTCAAAATACATTTTAGGAACCACAATGTCAATCTATAACTAGAAGTTAACACTTTACTAGTAGTATCTAGGAAAAAGTCTATTTTTGATCATCGAAGTATCATCAGATCCTGATTTTAGGCTGAATTTAAACTTTAAGATGATTTCAAAAGTGGTTTTTGCCTCTATATGCATTTTATATAAAATAATAAAAATTAGTTCAACCTCAAATTTATAACTAGTTCATTTTAAATAAAAAATATGAAACCAGTTCCATTTTTTTCAAAAATATAATCTTAAGACTTGTGGTTTACTTAATGCTATTTGTATCTTACTTGTTCCTTTCTCTAGAGTTTTTATTACTTTTTTGTGGAGCCTGTTATTTATTTATATTATTGCTTTGTGCTATATTAGACAAGAGGATCGACCAATAAGATCATCTAACAAACTTTGAGTCACATGGAAGATCTCAAAGGTGGCACCAACCTTGCAGATGGCATGACCAAACACGTATATATTCTATTTAGATGTTGCATAGTCAGCATTTTATTTTATTTTAATCACTTGACAAGGTAAAATATTTCCAACAAGCTAGGTACGTAGTAGCTCAAACATCATGTAATCAACTAATCATGCAATAAAAAATAAAGCAAAGCACAAATCCATAACTTAAATAAAGTAACGGTCACAACTACATGCCATAAGACACTAGCAATAGCAACAAATAAGCTATAAATAGAGCAACAATAGATTCTTTATATGTTTAGAAAATTTTGGTACCAATAATGTTTTTTTGGATTTGAAATGAAGTAGTTATATTTTTTTATAGATTTTTATTATTTTTAGAAAATACATATATTGGTAAAACTAGAAGGCTGGTGTCCAAAGTTCGATGGTCAAAATAACTCTTTTTTTAGTTTGATTGCCTCAATGCAACTCAGTTATATATAGTTCAATGATAAAAATAGGTTTATTTCTAATTTCTAGAATGAAGTATGGCATTTCATATAATTGGTGCAAGAAATTACATTTTATGTAAATATAATTCTATTTATCTTATTAATGCATAGTTTTCTATATAATATATCTTAATAAAAACCTTAACCGATGCCAAAAAAAAAAGTAAATAAAGGTGAAATGCACAGTAGGTTCCTAAACTTTTTCCATGTTTTTATCAGGGTCCATGAACTCTCAAAGTAGTCATCTAGGTCCTTCAACTATTCAAATGGTTTATTCTAAATGTAAATTCAGATCTGTCATTGGACCTATATATAGTGGACTTAGAATAAAGCGTTCAAAAAGTTGAGTTCATAGACCTAAATGATAGTTTAAGGACTCACGGTGCAGTCACTCAAAAATTAAACAACATTTTGAAATGGAGTAATTTTTGCACAATTGGACTGAGGACATACCTCATATGCTCGGTCCATGGCCTCGTTGGCTTCGGTTCTTTTTTCTCCATAAGCATGAGCTTTCAGACGGCGGACGAACTTGTTGGCCAATGTCTTCCCGTCGGCCGACATGCTTTTGAGCGTGAACTCTTGTTTCTTCATCCCGAACGTCACAATGGAAAGCCGGTCCCTTACGTCCAGGTTGAGGATAACGAACATGCAGCCCTGCTTCAGCTGATCGAACTTGCCGTCAACCTTCATGCGCGCATTGGCATCCAACACCATGACGACGTCAATGGCGGCGCGAGATCGGCGAGTGTGCGCGGGGGCGTTTACTCGTATCATCACTGGAACGCACGGAAGGCTTTCGGCCCGTGGGAAAGCATGGTACTTTGCCAAGCCACTTAGCTTCATCTTTTGGATGTCGCTTGGTGCCAGAGACTGCAGATTTTGCCGGAAGTGTGTTAGTGTCCTTGCTGGTATTTTAGTAAGTGCATATATATGATGTAAAAAAATTAATATATTTAATCACAAATATAGGTCTATTTAGATTTGTCCTAAGCTAAATTATTGCATCATCTTTGAAGAATGAAGATTGATATGTGTTCTTGACTAAAGAATGATGAGCGGTTATCAAGATGATTTAGACTTCCTAGTTACGCTCTTAATAGCTCATACTCTCTCCGTCCTAAAATACAAGTTATCATAGTAATTTCAGGATAGATTATGAGGTAAAACAAATGGCGCATGTAACCCTCGATTAACTGTATTAGGGCGGGATAACGAGCCAGTCTGGCTCGTTAGAATAAAGAGTTGGCTCGGCTCGGCTCGTTTAGCTCGCAAGCCCGCTCGTTTGGCTCATGTATATCATACATCCAATTGCTAACGGCATGCTTGTACCTAAACATTAGAGTTTTAGTCCATTTCAAAAGCATATATAACCAAGTCCAACCAAGTCCATATATTTAGTGGAGATGACTAGTCGTGGTGTGCACAACTTGGGGATTAGACTCTCATTTCAGTGCTGGTTGAGAATTTTGCAGGGTTAGAGAGAGGTGAGGCTATTTGTTCTTGAGCTTTTTGCCATACTAGATTTTTGTTAGATTAGGAGAGAATTGTAATCGAACAACTTGAGGTAATTCCAGTATCAATCTTATGCAAGTTTGTTCTCCTCTCTATAAATATGAAATTTATCATTTTTAGAATTTTAAGCTATTTTTTGGGGATTCTCGATTGTTGCTTTGGCTGAGTTGTACACAAGATTTTTTCAGTGTTTATGAATTGTTTGAACTTGGTGAAATCATGGCTAAAACCCATCACATACTCCCTCCATCCCAATATATAAGGCGTAACCCCCTCTGGTTCAAAGACCAAAAAATGTATTTAATTCTCTCTCTCTCTCAACACTATTACTGCATCGATATTACGTATGTGTGTCTAGAGAGAGCGTGCCTTATATTATGAGACTTGAATAAAACGTGAATATGCCTTATATATTAGGACAGAGGAAGAATATCTCAAGTTATTGCCATAATCATGATTTGTCGTCATGTAGCTGGTATAGTTGGTACTCCCTCCGTTCTAAATTATAAGTATGTCGGGTTCATAAACCCGGGGTCTCTAATGGGCCTGCTCCTCAGCAAAAGCTCGGCCCAGCAGACGACATTGCAAACGACGCGCAACTTCTGGGCTGGCCCAAATACCTAACAACAGGCCAGAAGGAAGATCCAGTCTCCGACCGGAAGGCCTGGGCAAGGAGGAACAATGCTCGCTTCCGACCCCGGCCCGCCTCTCCAACCGGACGGCCTGGCCAAGAAGGACCGGCACTCGCTTCCGACCCCGGCCTGTCTCTCCGACCGGAAGGCATGACCAAGAAGGTCCAGCGCTCGCTTCCGACTCCGGCCCGCTTCTCCGACTGGAAGGCCTGGCCAAAGAGTAACGACGCTCGCGCTCCGACTCCGACCTACGTCTCCGACCGGAGAAGCATCAAACCTCTGCTTACAGCTCTTCTCCGACCGGCACAGTCAGAGCCGACTGGGACCAACCGACCGGGGACGCCCGCTCGGTAAGGACCCAGGAAACGGGCAGAGCAGGTAAGGCAGGGCGCTCAAGACGACTACAATACCGAGGACCGTACCCTACACACCTTCAGGACAGTACTATCAGACCATGTCAGAAGGGTGCTCTGCAACCTTCCAGACATGTCAGAACCCAAACAGTGTTGAGGGCGCCGACATTTGCCCTACAGTGTTGTAGGCGCCATCAATTCCCGTACCAGGCAAAATGCGGTAAGACCCCCCACATGCATCTGGGCATCCACAGTGTTGTGGGCGCCAACATTTACCATACCTGGTGAACACGGTAAAACCTCCCACATGCGTCTGACATCAACAGTATTATGGGCGTCTACAATCATCTTGTACCCGATGGTGTGGGCAACAATACTTAGTAGCATACGTACACTCTCTCTCTCTCTCACTTGTAAGGCCGTCCCCTTGATATATAAAAGGGGATGCGCTCTCTCCCAACAGACAATCAATCCCAGACAACACAACTCGAACACTCAACGCACGTAGGAGCTCCCGTCACTGTCGGCCCTTCAGACCAGAGTCCGATCGAACCTCTTGCACCCCCCATCTTACTCCCACTCGTTTGTAACCCCACAGCAAACTTCGAGCACCTGGGCTCAGGAATAAAGTCACCAACCGACTCAAACTGAACGTAGGGCATGTTGCCTAAACTAGTATAAACCCTGTGTCATTGAGTGCTAGGCCACGTCCGATCACAACATACGGCAAAACTACAAATATTTACGTGTTGGTCACTTTCTGCACCGACAGTTGGCGTCGTCCGTGGGGAAGACGTCGTATGTTCATGCTTTTGGTCATCAGATGGCCCACTTTTCCGCCACCTTCGCCATGGCGGGCTCAAGCGATACGACTCGCTTTGGCTCGTTGGAGTTTCCCGCACTCCCACCTGTTGGGATGTGGGTTCCACCCGTCTTCGAGCCGTCCTAGACCTTCCTCTTTGGAAGCCTGGACTTTATCGCCGACTAGCTCAGCATGCTGCGCCTTCGTGAGAAGGCACTTGTTCCGGCGCCCGTCGGAGGGGCGCCCTCTGTCGGTTCCGAGACTCCCAGCGACTTCAACGGCGAAGCACCTGCGCTTCATTCCGAGCATACGCTCTGCTCAAACCCCACTATGAGTAACGTACATACTATTATTTACTCACTATTTACTATCTTCCGCCGATTATTCGGAGGGACCCCGTTGTCCGGGCCGCAACCGCCATGTGACTGGTTCCACTATGGCCTCGCATCCCCTGCGGACGCATACGCTTGGGGGCTCCGAAGGATGCTGGCGTCGCCCTCTCTCACATCCAAAATCATGGGGATGGCGAGCTATGCTCCCACCTCTTTCCACGAGCTCCTGGATGACGATGTTGAGAGCAACGGCTCTAGCATCGGCGATGTCGTGGCGCCTAGCCACCCACTGTCCTAGGAGTGCGCTATGGCGGATGCCCCGGGACAGCCGCCGATGGTAGCAGAGTCTCTACAGACCCACACCCCTCTGGACCCTCACGTGGGGGCCCTCGCGAGTGCGCAGGAGCACGGCGAGGAGCTACGACAAAGGCGGCAGAACCAGCCACCACCTGTGCCAGTGCGCTCAGCATAGCACGTTGCGCCACGCGCGCATAACCCAACGAGCGGCGCCCGGGGGCGTGCCCGTCAGGTCCAGCGCAACATCATGGACGGGGGGAACGATCTCCCATAGTTCGCTCGGGCTAGCCAGAACATCGCCACTGTGGTGATGCTTCTGTGCGACATTCTCGAGCTAGTCGACCCCCAGGAGTGGGCAGTCCACCGGAACCTCCGACACTGGTGGAAGCCGCCGCCGTTCAACAGGCGGAGAGCTCTGCATCGTGACACCGACTCGTGGCCTCTCTCCCCACCAGGAGAGTGGGGACGCACCAGACGGATCGCTCCATCCGCTCACCACTATAGCCGCCAAATGCGGCACAGGAGGCCACAGCTGCACCGCGGTCTGACCCGGCGCCTGCCCCACACTGACCGCTAGTATGCGAACGCCTCGGTCCGAACCAAGACGCTCACAGCGTCATTAGCAACCAGTGTTAGGCCCGGCATGATGATGACGTCTATCGAGCGGCGGTGAGAGCAGGCGACACGGGCCCTAGCCGAACCATCGAGGGGAGTGGTGAAACGCACCCCAGGCATGGTCGCCGGCCAGACGACCGGAGTCCTAGCCCGGATGGCCTGGGACCACGGGCCTTTGGCCGACGCATCAAGAGAGCGCCATTCCCACAACGCTTCCGACCGCCCACCAATATTGCCAAATACACCGGGGAGACGAACCCCGGTATTTGGCTCGAAGACTTCCGGCTCGCCTGCCGAGCCGGGGGAATGGATGATGACCACTTCATCATTCAGTACCTCCCCATCTGCATGGGGGAACATGTCCAGGCGTGGCTAGAATTCCTCCCACGTGACAGCATCCGTGACTGGGCGGACCTCAAGAGCATCTTCGTCGGGAATTTACAGGGGACATATGTTCGCCCTGGGAACTCCTAGGACCTCAAGAGCTGCCAGCAGGAGCCCAGCGAGTCCCTGTGGGATTACATCCATAGGTTCTCCAAACAATGCAACTCCCTTCCTGATGTTGTCGACACGGATGTGATCAGCGCATTCCTCTCTGGGACAACCTGCGAGTCCCTGATCCACAAGCTTGGCTGTTTGAAGTCCCGGACCACCCGCGACCTGCTCGACGTCGCTATGAACCACACCTTCGGTGAGGAGGCGGTCGGAGCGGTCTTCAATGGAGGCTAGGACAAGGGCAAGGCCAAGCGTGAGGATCAAGATGAGGGTCCCCCCACACAGACGGGCAAGAAGAACAAGAAGGATCGGCACCGACCGGCCAACTCCGATCTAGTCGCTGTGGCCGATCGCACGGGCAAGCAGCCCTAGCAGGGCCTGCCGGACCACTTCGGCAAGCTCATGGAGAGCCCGTGCGCCAACCACGCCTACCCCATCAAGCACCTCTACAAAGACTATGAACTCCTCAAGCGCTTTCTGCGACAGGCCAACGGGCTAAAGGAAGGAAAGGGCAAGGAGGCAGCAGTCAAAAATGGGGGCATGGCGGGCAAGGATGCGGATGACTTCCTCGATCTTGAGGAATGCATCATGATCTTCGGGGGATTTGATGCCATCTACTCCAAGCGCTAGCACAAGGTACGCTACAGAGAGGCATGCGTCGCTGAGATAGCCGTCCCCTCCTTCCTTAGCTGGTCAGAATCTCCAATCACCTTCGATCGGAGGGACCATCCCTCCCATGTCGCCAGACCGAGGTGCTACCCGCTCATCGTCGACCCCATCGTCCATAAGAAGTGCCTTACCAAGGTGCTGATGGACGGAGGCAGGGGCCTCA